ACGATTTGCAAATATTAAATTGAGTAGAGGATCTACGAATCTTCTAAGAACCAATTCGAATAATTTAGACACGCAATGAAGCCACATGAAACGAAATATCCATACACTTGTCCTTTGCTTTATGGAGCCTTTTATTACCGTATAGATCAGTCCAAACACGGAATCTCATATACCTTTCTTGCATTGCATAAGACAGAAAAATGAAAAAAAGATCTACCTTTCTTGCTTGGTCAGCTTACTAATATGGCGGCTAAACCTGAGGGGTCCGTCCTACTTATACCTTTTCAAAGTCCCTAATCTATAATTCAATTCAAAACATTGGGGCTTTTCACCAAGATTTGGACCTCAAAATATTCACTTCAAAATTGCTTCTTCCTCCCTTGTGTCTTCTACTTTCACAAAACTATCTCAAAAAATTAGGGTGTCGTTATTGCCAGAAAAAAAAAAAAATACATTTGTTACATTCAACTTGATTATCTGCTTCAAATAAAGGTCTATTTATTTTAAAAAATCAATTCTTTGCTATTACATAATTTTATAAGTTTTTTTTTTTCTAATTTCTATAGTTAATTTTGTATAAATATCTCTGAAAAAATGTCTTTATTATCATATAAGTTTACAAGATAATCAATTACTTAAAACACTTACAAATTTAAGAAAATGCCACACAATAGCATAAGTTTCCGAACAACTTCAAAAAATTGTGTTCAAGCGAAATTTCGTCTTCATTTTTGAACCCAACTCAATATAATTTAAAATGACACTAACACTTTAAACCTTATGGTTTGACTATAACTTTTATTATTGAAAAATAATATTTCCAATAAATATTATTACTCTATTCTTTAATTAGTGAATTTCTTCCATATTCCCAACTCAACCAAGTAAGAATAGCTTATTATTATTATTTTTATTTTGTATCTATATCTCCAATAATCAGTGGAGTGGACCATTGTTTGATAATATAAACTGATATGAAATATCGATCGAATAAAAAAAAAAAAACTAGTTTTTTGGACCACACAAAGCTGTGAATAGCCAAATGGCAAACACCCTTCTTAAACCCTTAAACTTTTTCAACAGCAAGTGATAAGCCCCTGAACTAAAAAATGGATAAATAAACCCTCCAACCTCACGTTGGGTGCAAATCAGTTCCTCGTAATTGACTTCGTGGCGCCGTTCGCTGTTGGCTTGCGTGGCATTGCACTTGCATTTTTTTTTTTTTTTGCCTTCACTTCATTTGTTTTTAATAATAATATATTTTTTTAATTAATTAATATTATATAAATACATACCCTTAAGTGATATTTTTTATTTTAATTAATAATGCATTTTACTTTAGCAATCTTTATCAATTAATTCTTAAATTTAATTAAACCACCTAACTAATAAAGATTTTTTAACATATTTCTTATTTTTCTCATTAATTATTATGAAAGTAATTTTTTAAATTCAACCCTTAGGGTACATATTAAAATTATAATAAATATACTTTTTAATAAATTTATATTAAAAAAATAAATATTAACATTTAATTTATTAGTTATTTAATTAAATTATCAACATAACAATGACATTAAAATTAATATTAACTTTTACATTCTTTTATATAAATTAATGAAAAAATGTATATTTAAGAGCAAAAATCAAATAT